TGGGCCTGTCTGCGCTGGTGCTGGTGCTGCTGGTGCTGCTTGCTGTCTGCTGGTGCTGCTGGTGCTGCTGGTGCTGCTGGTGCGGCTTGCTGTCTACTGGTGCTGCTGGTGCTGCTGGTGCTGCTGGTGCTGCTGGTGCTGGTGCTGCTTGCTGTCTGCTGCGGGGTGGGGACTGGTGCTGTGGGTGGACAGCAATCTGGTGTCCATCAACTACGGAAACTTGTCGGTGGTGCTGGAGGCTGTGCTGAAGACCGTCAACGAGCATGCCCAGCATCTGACTCGGCTGTCGGCTCAGCCCAAGCCGCTGCAGGCGGACGCCCTCGATCCGCTCCTGGCGCGGTTGGACGCGCTCGAGAGCGAGCGGAAGGCAGAGAAGGCCGCCGCCGCCGCCCGCGAGAAGGAGCTCAAGGATGCGGTGAGGGCCGCAGAGGCCAAGGTCGCTGCCCTCGAGGCAGTCGTCACCCCGCTTGCCGATGACGTTTCCAACGTCGTGGCCCTTGCCGCAGGCGCCATGCCCAGGTCCGAGACCGAAGACCGCCTTGCAGAGATCGGCAGCAGCCAGTCCAAGCTCGCCGATCGCCTCACCGTCCTCGCCAACAGCCTGCCGGAGACGTATGCGACAAAGGCCGAGGTGAGCGAGATGGGAGCAGCCCGCAAGAGCCCTGCGCCGGCCCGCCCAGGCAGCACCTCGACGCCGCTGGGTGCCGGCCTAGGCGCCGACAGCTCTGGCCTTGCTGTCGAGGTCGAGGGCCTTGCCTCGCGGATGGCAGACCTCGAAGGCCTTGTCGGCGGCGTCGAGGTGCCAGGCGTTCGCGACGCAGCAAACGTGCTCGAGGCCCGCGCCGATGCTGTCCACGCCGTTGTCTCGGAGCTCGAGGCCAAGATGGCCATTCTGTCCGATCAGGTAGCGGCGGCAGCAGCGGCAGCGGCGACAGGCGGATCTGGTGGTGGCTCTGGCGATGATCATGGTTCCGCTGCTGGCGGCTCCGGTGACGGCGGTGCCATGCTGGCAGGCCTCTCGTCGGACGTCTCCAAGCTCAAGATGCTGCGGCCGGAGATCGACACGCTCAAGCACTCGTTGGCCTCGCTGCGGTCGACGGTGGCGGACGCTGTCGCCCGCGAGGCCGACACCTCTGGCCTACTGGAGACCCACGACGCGACGATCAAGAACCTCGACGCGGCTGCAGCCAAGAGCCGCGCGCGGCTGGCGGAGCTCGAGTCCGAGCTCGCCCTGGTCAAAGATGCCGCCGCGCCGGCGTCGGGCCTCGACTCGCTCAAGCAGAACATGGCGTCGCTCAAGAGCATGCTCAACGCGCTCGAGGCCGAGTCGGGCGAGGCCAAGGCCGCTGCCGCGACCAGCGAGACCGGCGCGACAGTTGGCTCAGGTGAAGCCAGAGCCAGCAGCGCTGTGGTCAAGGCTGCGCTCGACGCCCTGCGGAGCCGGGTCAGCAAGCTGGAGGCGCGAGCGGCGAGTGGAGGTGCAGCTGTCGCCACAGCATCTGGCGGTAGTGCAGGCGCCGGAGGCAGCGATGCGCTGGTGCAGTACCGGCTTGACGCGAGCCTGGAGAGTGACGACGCGGTGGTCTTCTCACCGCTCAACTCGCTGGGCGGGTCGGGCTGCTGAAGGACGATCTTGCGGCGCTGCAGGAGCCGCTGGCGGCGGCGCTGCGCGAAAAGGCTGAGCTCGGCTACGTCGACGAGGCGCTCAACGAGCTTGATGAGCGGCTGCGGTCGCTGGCCAACTTTGCGTCGGACAAGCTCGAAGCGCTCGCCAACGCGGTGCGAAGCCGGGCGTCGATTCGCGACATGCAGGAGATGGAGGAGGACTTGCTCGGCATGCTCTCGGCCTCAACTGGTGAGGGCTCGTACACCACCGCCGGTAGGCTGCATTTCCGCTGTCTCTCGTGCAACCGGTCGACTGCCACAGTCTCAGGCCCAGCTTCATCGTTTTACACCCGCTCGCTCACCTCGTCGGGCCGCCCGGCCACCGCTGCCGGGCCAGCCACGTCCTCCTTCGGGCGCGCCGGCTCGAGCCCGCGCAACATGCGCCCGCCGTCGGCCGCTGGGGCCACCGCCCTGTATCCCACAGGCGTCACGCCAACTGCCCTCTTCGGTGTCGACAACAGGGTGTACCACGGGCGGGTGGAGACCGATGGCGAGGCCAGTGCCGGCGCCGGCAACTACGCCACACATCCGCGTCCGCGCTCCTCGCAGACCATGCTCAACCGCCCGCCGGCCGAGCCCGAGTACGGCGTGCCCGGGACTGGACCGGTCGACGTCGAGTACACCGATACGTACGAGATTCGGTGAGCTCGCATCTAAAGACAGGAAGGAGGAGGAGGAACAATTGTGTGTGTCATGGAGCTCACGAGACATGGATCTCAAAGATGAGGCTGAGATTGCCGGCAAGGGCAGCCTGGACAAAGGTCTCAACGTCGACGCCCTGAGTGCCTGCGCCGCCGAGGTTGTCAAAGGTGGTGCGGACAAGCTGGTCGATGGTGGTGGCAGAGATCTGGTCACCGCGGGCCTGGACTGAGGCCTGCATGGCGGCGGCCATTTCGTCACGGGTGAGGATGCCATTGCCGTCGGTATCGTAGGCGGCAAAGAGCAAGCGCATTCGCTCCTCGTCGGTCCCACGCTGGAGGGTGGAGAGGCCGGCAACGTACTCGCGAAAGTCGAGCGAGCCGTTGCGGTCCGAATCAAAGGCGACAAAGTTGCGATGGATGGTCTCGTCGTCTGTGCAGCCGAGCATGCGCAGGCCGTGGGCAAACTGCTCCTCGTCCAGCAAGTCGCCGGTGGCGATGGCCTTCCACTGCTCGTACAGGGTCTCAAGCTCGTCCGAGCCAAAGTGGGTGACGGTGGCCAGCTCACTGAGCAGGACTGACTTGTCGGCGACAACCGGCGAGGAGAGGGCGACGCCGCCGGAGAAAAGGCAAAGGCGCCGACGTCGAGGCCAGGGAGCATGGGCCCGTTCGAAGCCATGTCCATGGCGTTCTTGCGGTCAAAGAGGATCGAGGTCTGCAGGCCGAGCGCTGGTGTGACGTCGTCCTTGTCGCGGACAACGTGGAGCTGGACGCGGAGACCGTAAAAGTGGCCGACGGCTCGCTCAAACGCGGCCTGCGAGTCGACCATGACCACGCCGTGTGAGGCTTCCATCCGCTCCCGGGCCTCAGCCTCCACAGCTGCTGCGGCTGCCTCGCCATCGCCGCGGGCCTTGAGTTCCTCATCGACATAGTACATCACAAGCTTGCCAAAGTACTCCACCTGCTTCTGGACAGCGACGACTAGGTCGTGGTACTTGACGCTGCGGAGCTCGAAGAAGATGGGCGCTTTGGGCCATTCGGGGTCCTCCAGAGTGGCCTTGATGGGCAAGGCACGGCCGGCCGACGGACCGACGCGGGCCGACGGCGTGTCTGCTGCCGACGGCACGCCGATGCTCAGCAGGCCCGAGTCGAAGAACTTGTCCATGAGGGTGCGGATGTAGGTGGCGCGGTGGCGAGCCTGTTTCCCGCGCATGGCCTCAAAGACCGAGCGGAGCTTGAGAAGCACCCCGTGGATGCGGGCCTCGGCCGACGGCTTGCCAGGCTCCTGGAAACGCCATGCTCCGAGGACCTCGGTCGGAACGGCGGTCATCTCCTCGAGGAGCTGGCCAAAGATGCCGAGCTCGTCGAGCGAGAAGCGGGCGACATAGGGGTTGACATCGGACAAGGCGTCGGCCTCGATGTCGCCGGCGTTGAGGATGTTCTTGATCGACTTGAGGACTACTGAGAGGGTGCCAAACTTGAGGACCGGGAGCGTATACTCGTACATCTGAGTGAGGACATCGTCATCCTCAAAGTGGAACAGCTTGAGGCACTCGCAGAGGACCGAGACCATGCCCAGATCCTCGACGAGGTACTTGACCTGCGACGCCGTCCCTCTGGTCCCGTACTGCAAGACGCGCAGGGCCTTGACTCGAGTGACCGGGTCGGAGGCGACAAGCTCAGTAAGGGCGACAAACGAGCGGGCCTCGATGAGCGGCTGAACCTGACCCTTCATGCCCGCGAGGACACCTGCGAGGTGGACGGCAAGCAGCCGGGTTGCGCCGTCGGCAAACGGGAGGACAGCGGTGAGGGCGTCGACAAGGTTGAGGCTGAGCAGGATGGCAGCGAGGCTGTCGTCGGTGAGGATGTGGACAAGGGCCGAGAGGACCGAGACGCGAGCAGCAGCGTGCTCCGAAGTGACGAGGGCGACCAGGGCAAGCAGGAGCTCCTGGGAGGCGTGCTCGACGGCAATGCCCGGAAGAAGGTGGGCAAGGGCGGCGAGAGCGTGATGGAGGACGACCGGGTCAAAGATCGACTTGCCGAAAGCGAGGACAAGCGATGTTGAGAGCGGGAGCGCAGGGCTGATCCGCTCCCACGGTGCCGACTCTCCCGTTGTCGCGCCGCAGAACAGCGAGAGGACCCAGACTGCACGGCGAAGAAAGACGACACTCGGCGAGCTCAGCGTAGTCGAGAGCGTGGAGTCGACGAGCGAGCGGGTGAGGTTGACGACGGCGACGTCGATGCCGGCCTCGACCAGAGCCGACCGCATCTCGGGCGTCTTGTAGAGGCAGGCACCAATGGCAAGGAGAGCAGCCGAGGTAACCGCCATGTTGTTCGAGTCGAGGCCAACGCGCATGGCCCTGGCGCCGCCGAGGCTCTTGATCAGCTCCTTGTAGTAGAGCGAGGTCTCGTGCATGGCGTGCGAGTCGGGAAGGGCGCCGATGCACGGCCCGCGGGCGAGGAGGCCAAGGCAGAGCAGAGCCTTCTCCTGCAGCTTTTCGTGGTCGGCGAGGCCGGCGTAGATGACAAGGCGCGGCAGAGCGGTCTCGATTGCGGAGAATAGGCCGATAAGGCCATCACCGATCTCGCGGCGCTCCATCGGGGTGCGGAAGATGACAAGGCCGCGGAGGAGGTAGTAAACCGTGCGAGTCGGTATGTACGCCTCTTCGGCGTCGGCAGCGTCCCGCACGGCGGCCATGAGCTGGCCAAAGTCGCCCTCGCCGAGGTGGTCGATGTACTCATCCTTGTCGTAGCGAGAGAAGCGCTGCAGCGAGAGATTCGGCAGCGGGAGGGTCTCAAACTGGGCGTACTTGGAGTGGTCGACAGGAAAGTCCGCCAGAGCGATTTCGGCCGCCTCGAGCGGGCCTGGGCCGAGCTCAGGCTCGGCCGGCCACATGCCTTCGCCAGACTGGAACTGATTGAACCAAGCCTGAATGGCGGTGTGGATCTTGGCACGGCCGCTGTCGAGGTTCTTCTCGGAGACAAGCGCGAAGCGGTCCTTGTCGGAGAGCAGCCAGTCCTCCATGGCGCGGCGAAAGTCGAGCCAAGAGGCCGAGCGGCGCGAGGCAACCTTTTGGCGCGCATGGCCGCAGCAAGCGCTGATGCTGGCTTGGGCGACGAAGCGCCGGCAGAGAGCGACATGGACATCGGCCCAGCCAGCGGGTCATCGTCGTCCTCCTCGACAGCGTCATCGCCACCTGAGGCCATTTGGCCGGTCATGACACGCATCAGAGCCTCGACCTCGTCGTTAGAGCGGTGGATCTCCGGCATGTTCTTAGCCAGAAACGCTGCAAGCTCTGAGGTGGATACGGTGGACGAGCCGTTCGAGTCCATCATCGAGAACACGGCCTGGACCTCTGCCACCTGTTCATCGGAGAGGAAAGAAGCCTGGAGAGAGCAAGGCGGACGGGATGGAGATGGGGGGAGATGGGGGTGGTGATGTTGAGGTCCGTGGTGATGTTCGTGGTGATGTTCGTGGTAATGTCCGTGGTAACGTCCACCACGCCATGTTGTCCGTGGTGTTGTCCGTGGTCGCGTTCCCGCCCATGTCGCATTGTCGCCATGATGACCCCGCCCCCGCCCCGGCCACACGCAAACCGCCCACAACCCGTATTCCATGAGTCCACAACCTCTCCCTCCTCCCTCCTCTTCCACGTCCCTCCACAACACATATGCACATACCATAACGCAGGCTGTACTCTTCAAGTCAAGTGCCCAGGCCCTGTCCCCCTCCCCCCTCCCCTGGCCGCTCCCCGACTCTCTCCGTCTGTGCCTTCCCGCCGAACGAGGAGCACTCAAGGCCTCGCTGCCACATCCACCACCACCGCCAGCCACCGGCTACCTTGGCACACAGTCGCATCACCCGGTCTAAACCCATCCCTCCCCTCCCCCCTCGTATGCGTATGTATGTATGTGAGATCCACTGAGCGCAGGTGAGTGGCCAAGAAGGGGGTTATTGTGGTGCCGTGATCGGGCCCATGGCATTGGTTGTGGGCAACGTCGGTATCGGCATCATGGTGGTAGATGTGTTGCGGGTGATTGAATCGACTTGAGAGAGGGAGGAGTGGATGGGGCGAGCCACAGATGCAGTCATAGATCGTCCTTGATGGTCTCGAGGGCGGCCTCGATGGTGGCAGCCTGTTCACGGAGAACAGTCTCGTCCGCCAAATGGTCGGCGAGTGCATCGTGGACGTCATCAGCGGAGTCCAAATGACGGTGCACAACGCCAAGGGCGTCCATGACTGCGCGGGCGCGGCGCAGGCGCAGCTCGGGCGAGTCTTCCTTGGCCGAGGCCGCTCCCGAGGCTGCAGCCGCCAGCTTTCGATCCAGCTCGGCGCGCATGGCATCGACAGCCTCGATGGCCTTGGCATTGTCGCCATGAGCCAAATGCGGTCGGATGCCGTTGCGGCTGGTGAGAGCGCGTCGGGCGGCAGCCACGTCCCGGGCAAGCGTCTGCAGGCGGTCAACGCCATGAGCTAGCAGCACCGCTCTTGTTTCCTGTGGATGATCGTCCAGCGGCTTGCGAGCGCCATCTTCGGCAAGAGCCTCCGAAAGGCAGAGATGATGATCGAGGCAAAAGGCGGCAGCATGGGCAGCAGCATCATCGGCAGCGATGGCTGCAGCATGCGGAGCGTGACGGGCGAGCCAGTCGAGGCAGTCATCGCCATGGTTTTCCAGCAGCATGTGACAAAGGGCATGCATGGTCGATGGCACAGCCTCACACACAGCCTCCATGGCCACCGATGCTGTGGGCCAGGTCGTGGCCAGAGCCGAGATGGTGGTCAGACACGTGTCGCACACCAGCAGCGACGGAGCTGCCGTCACCGACTTTGCCCACGTTGTCGCAGAGAGGAGAAGGACCAAGACCACAAGGAGAAAGACGACGGGAGTGGGGGTGGAGGAGACCATGGCGAGTAGAAGAGGGAGAGGTGTGGTGTGGCTACGGCGGGGGGCGGGGTGACGTCTGCCTGTGGTGTGTTCAACCGAGTCACGGCTGCAGGAACGGTGTCTGGCGGGCTGCAGGAACGGTGTCTGGAGGGCTGCAGGAACGGTGTCTGGCGGGCTGCATCAATGATCGGCTCCGAGAGAATACTTGGCCATGGTTGCGGGCGTGATGATGAAGTGAGGTGTGATGCAGGCCGGCGTGGCGTGGCGTGGTGTGGCGTGGAGGTGGGATGGGGCGGGGGGGGCCAGCCGGCGGTCTCGACTCATGCGTGCGGGCGGAGGACGAGAGATGGAAAGAGGGAGAGGGAGGAGAGGGAGTCGGGGGGCTACTCGATGACCTTCCCCACGATGTGGTACTTGTCGGTGAAGAGGTTGTACCACTGATCGAGGGTATCACGCTCGGACATGGAGAGAGTGGACAGATCGCCGGTGACCTCGTCCAGCGAGGTCTTAGCCAAACCATACGATGCGTCCTTGCCGGCAAAGACATTGTAGCCAGCGCCCGGCCCATAGAACTCTGGCTTGGAGGTGACGTCAAAGATGGTGCCCTTGGCGGCGAGGTAGACCCGGTTGAGGACCTCGGCATGGGTCCCGTCGTACAGCGCCAGCTCCTCCAGCGTCATGTCCTTGGTCTCGTGCGGAGGTAGCGGCGGCCCGTCGTCCTTCTTTTCCTCCTCCTTTGCCCCACCCGAACCGCCATCCGTCGTCGCTCCTTGTCCGTCTCCACGCGCCGAGAACACGGCACGGGTCGCAAGGTAGGCGGCGCTCCCGGCCACGGCCCAGAACACCACCGTCCCGGCTGTAGACGTCCCCACCACAGGTGCAGCCCAAGTGCGGAGCTGTGAAAGCATGCGTTCGATCTCACCAAGCATGTTATGAGAGGGATGGCGTACGCGTGGGCGTGGGGGGGAGGGGGGGAGGAGGAGGGAAGTCGCGGCGTGGGGCGGAGGGGGGCGAAGGGGGCGGAGGGAGGGAGGGGGGGGGGGGGGGGGGCGAAACTACGACCTTTTTGGGACAAGGCCTTTTTCCCCCCCCCGTCAGCAGGCATGTTTGATTCGGATAGAGGGCGATGGAGGGCAGTGTGGGGTGAGAAAGGGGAAGGAGCGGAGGAGATGAGGGAGAGGATGTGGTAGAGGGGAGAGAGAGGGGGGAGGGAAGGGCAAGGAGGGGGCTTGCTGGAGCTGGTTCGGATTCGCATCGGAAGTGGCGAAGAAGGGCGTGATCATTAATTTTCGAGGATGCGAGCGCCCAGAAGCAGACGTAGAGGACAGTGGGGAATCAGGGGACATCTCGCTTGCCGCACGTCTCCACTACGCAAATGTGATGACGAGCAGCAGCAGTTGCGCTTGAAATGGCTGCAACTGCAGCTGGAGATCAGGCGGATGTTGTGGCGGCGATCATGTCGCTGGCACAAGTGGCGACAAAGCCCCACAGGCGCGACGAGGCGACCATGGCGTAGTGGTGGACGTGCGGGAGCTCAAGGGTGGCGATCGAGGCCGCGGGGCGCACAGGGTACTGTGCCGAATCAGCGGTGACAACGGTGTCGATCGATGACGAGAGCGAAGCAGTAGCAATTGAGGTCGAGGCGGCGGCGGCGGCAAGGGACTGCAGCCGAGGCGACGCTGGGCGGAGATCGCGGAGAAGCGGTGCTGCCGGCGAGATGCCGGTGAGGATGCGGACGAGGAGCGGCGAGGAGGCAGCGAGTACGCGGAGGAGGCGCGAGCCAAGGAGCGGCGAGGAGAGGGTGATGACGCCGGCGACTTGCGGGAGGAGCGCAGGCTTGCCGGGAGAGGAGAGGGCGCAGGAGAGGGAGACGATGCCGCCAAGCGAGTGACCAACAAGGACCACCTTATCGACGCCGTCAGCGGCGAGATGCTCGAGGTGGGTGCGGAGGCGAGCCACGTACAGGTCGAGAGTGTCGCTCTCCTGAGGCATGACATTGATGCCCGAATCACGGTGGTAAGAGAGTGTGGAGAGGCGGAAGCGCGGGGCGAGGAGGATGCGGCCGAGCATCCACTGGGCGTCGTTGGAGCCGAGGCCATGGACAAGGACGACCGCGGTCGAGGGCGCGGGGCCGGGCGCTGGGCGTGGCGCCAGCTCGTCCCAGCTGACGTGCAAGACGCGGAGAGCGAGAGCGTGCCATGCCATGAGTCCGGCGACCAGCGGAAGAAGCGTGAGCTCAGCGATGATGGCCAGCGGGATGTTGATGGCCCGGGCAGAGACGAGCGGGAGCGAAGCCATGGCCGATGGATCAGGCTGCGGGAGGAGCGCAGAGAGCCACGCTGGCGCCAGAGCAGCAGCAACCAGAGCGCTCGCCAGCCCGAGTCCATGGATCGTGGTGTACAAGACAGCAGCGAGACTGAAGCCGTGGAAGATGGTGACGGCGGCGATCGGGCCGGCGACGAGGACGATGATGGGCGAGATGATGCGCGGCGCGAGTATCCACCATGCGGTGATGAGCGCAGCGGGGAGATACGTGGAATGGCTTGCGTAGGCAGCGGCGTAGGTGGCGACTGCGGCGAGGACGAGCACGATCGGACCCTTCGACGACATGGTGCAGCCGAGAGGAGTCTTGTCTGCCACGATGGTGATGGTGATGACAGGGCATAGCGATCTTGCTGTGCGGGTACGCGCTGACGTCAGCTATGATGTGGCGGTCTGATTGCCACCTGTGGATCAGCACAGGTCGAGGTGTCGGTCGGGGCGGCCGGCTCCGGGCTGCTGGATGCGGCCGAAAGTGCGCGACGGAGGGTGTGGGTGGCAGCACTGCACTCGACGGCGAGCAGGACGGGTTTAGGGCTGGCTAGTGCTGCAGAGGGGAGGGGGCATGGCTGATGGACACGGACCTGGGTGCCGGTGTGGAGGCGAGGGACACGGCGGGCTAGGGCAGACTATGGACGAGCTCGAGTTCACCCGATCGTTGGCTGGCGCGGCATCGATGGGTGACGTGGATCGGATGCGGGCGCTGCTGGGCGAGAACCGCGGAGGAGTCGATGCCGCCTCGCCATCGGGCTACACCGCCTTGCACTACGCGGCACGGTTGGGCCGGATGGACATGGTTGAGCTGCTGCTGGCTGCCGGCGCTGACGTGGCCAAGGCGACCAAGGCTCGGGCGGCGACTGCGCTTCACCGGGCGGCTGCCGCTGGACATGTGGCCGTCGTTGATGCGCTGCTGGCTGCCGGCGCAGATGTGATGGTGGTCGATGCCCGCGGTGCTACCCCATTGCATCGGGCGGCTGGGGAGGGCCGGCTGGCGGTGGCCAAAGCGCTGATCGCCTCAGGCGCAGACCTGGCAGCGGTAGACAACAAGGATCGCACGCCGGCAGACCTCGCTCGAGAGAACGAGGAAGACAGAGTGGCATCATATCTGGATGACTGTGATCGATGATTGCCATCGGTTGGCCTTGGTCCGTGGACACGGTATAAAAGACATGCTGTCATCCAACACACCACGGCCATCACCACGGCCATGACCTCCACGGATCCCTTGTCGTAGACCATGAGACACACTAGCCCCCCCCCCCCCCCCCCCCCCCGCCGAGTGCAGTAGGCCACTACTCTGGTGTGGTACCATGGCTTCAGATGGGATGATGTCCGGCTCAGGTCGTGATGGGGCGGCACCTCTCTCCCCCACACATGTCGTACTACAACAACCGTCGCCGTGCGTCACCGGCGCAGTCGACAGCGTCTCAGCTTGGCGGCCATCGGTCTGGGCGCAAGGACCCACGACTGAATGCCAAGCACCAGAAGATCCTTATGGCACTTCTTAAGCAACCTGAGAATGCATACTGTGCAGACTGTGGTATCAAGGGTACGTCATACTATGCCTATACCCATACCCTCTCTCCATGCCATCTCCTCCTGCAGAAGAGAGACGCGATCTTCCACAAGTCAGGGAAAGGGGGAAGAGGGGGGGTACCCACGCCACAGTGGGAGCTAGTGTGGGCCATGGGGGATAGCCACATCAACCATACTCAGATACCTTGTTGTATACCCTATATACAATCCATGTGATGATTTGGGTGGGCTTAATCCCATGTATGCTGCTGGTAGAGGCTGTACATACCCCCCCCCCCCCTGGTGTCCCCCCCCCCCCCCCCCTTCCTCCAATTTCAATGACTTTGACCAAACAAGGTCATGCCAGGCACAGTGGGGGGCAAGGGGACGGGGACGGGGACGGGGACGGGGAAGGGGACGGGGAAGGGGAAGGGGAAGGGGAAGGGGAAGGGGAAGGGGAAGGGCAGAGACTCATGGTGTATGGGATGGTGTGTGTGTGTATGTGTATGGTGTGTGTGTGTGTGTGTGTGTGTGTGTGTGTGTGTGTGTTGTTCGTGTGT